AAGACCACCCCATCTGTCCGGTCATGCTGGGGGATGCTCGGCTGGCTTCAGTCATGGCTGAGGACATGCTGAACAGAGGTGAACTGGGGGGAGAGCTCTGTGTGCAGACACATTCCCTGAGGGAAGGGACAGTTGGTGGTTATGCCACCACCAGCCCTCCTCCAGAGGATGTTTCTGGATGAAATCTCACTTTTAAGTCATCATAAGGAACTCTTCCACTCTCCTGGAATAGCCTCCTGGTCTCCCCTAGATCTTTCTTCTTTCTCTACTGGGGAGGGTGTTTAGATTGATGCTCTTGTCCTGCCATGCTGGACTCCATCCCCCATCACTGGCTGTAACCCTCATTTCCATGCTTGGGAGAAGATGGCACTTGAAAACCCTGAAGGCTGGAAGTGGTTATTGAGAGGAGAGGGAGGATCCAAAAGCTGTTCTATCACCCAGTACCCATCAACCTGCCTCTCTCCCTCCCAGCCAGTTCTGACTCTCTCTGTGTTTCCTTCCCAGGCATTTATGTCATTGGCTTCAGCTACCCCGTGGTCCCCAAGGGAAAGGCCCGCATTCGGGTCCAGATCTCAGCTGTGCACAGTGACGAGGACATCGACCGCTGTGTGGACGCCTTCACCGAGGTGGGACGGAAACACGGAGCGCTGCGTTGAGGGGCCAACAAGCACCTCCTATGGCACCATCCCTGCCCACAACCAAGTGCCTCTGCTGGGTGGAAAAGGGCTTGAGCAGCACGCTGCCAAAAACAGGACTGATCCTCAAGGCATGGCAGCCTGCAGGAGGCCGTGGCTGTTGCAGCGTGCTGGCAGTAGCTCTGGCAACGAGCTCTTGTGTCATTAAAGGTGTCCTGCAGTGCAGTGGATATTTGTCTGCCTCTTGTTTTCTCATTCAGGAGCTGCACCCCATCCCCATCCTCTTGTGCTGTGACCACACACTCTGCTGTGTCTTCCCTGAAGCCTCAGTCCAGATGCTGAAGCACTGCAGTTCCTGTTCTTTCCTGCTGATGGAAATACAGCGTTGTTGGTGTGCTTTGAGGTTGCCTGCTTCCTCTATGCTCTCTTCTGGGTCCAGCAGCATCACTGGCAGATCTCCCTGCTGCAATTCCCCACCAAGGCAGGGGTGTTTCCCAAGCCCTTTGCAATCCGTACCACCAGCAGCTGGTTAGGGAAAGAGGACATGGGCCAGCCAAAACTCCAGTATTGCTTTCTCTCCTCGCTCTCGGGTGTTAGATGTGAGGCTTGTTTGGTCCCCAGGACCAGCTATAAGGCTTTACCAGTTGCAGTGGTGCTCCCAAAACTGCCCTGGGAAAGGCTTCTTGCCCCAGAGAGGCCAGCGGGCAGAGGCCAGCAGCATGGCAAGAGGGTCTGTGTCAGCCAGAGGCAGAGCAGGGGACAGAAACCTGTAGTTTTCCTCCATCAGGCAGGAATCTCTGGATTTGTTCCTCCAAGCTGTGTTGGCGTAGCATTTGAGCATTAAAGCAGAAACAAGTGGGTCCTGGGCATCACAGGATTGCTTTGTTTGCATCAGTTTTGCTCTAGAAGTCATGTGTGTCCTGCCACCTGCCCACGTGCTGAATGAGTACTTGCAGCTGGAGACAGATTCCAGCTGAAATGGAGTGTGCTGTGCCTGGGTGCTGGAGCACTGAGTCACATCAGCAAAGACCTGCTCTGAAATTGCTACATGCCCTTGGGCAGTCAGGGAGTGAGCTACAGGGCAATAGCATGTCTGACCTGAACCAGAGCAACTGCAGAAGAATACTGGAGTTAATCTGGGGTTGCAAAGGGCAGGGGAGAAACGTGTTTTTGATAGGACTGCAACCAGACCTTGTTAGAACAGCTGGTAGCATAACTGCTGATTTTGTTTAATTTGCCTGCTGATAAACTACAATATGGAGTTCCCTTTCTGTGGCACCAGACACACTCACAGTGCTGCAAACCCTTTTCAACAGGCAATATTTTGGCATGGAGAATGTAATGGGGAAAGGGCAGGGGGATATGCTCAGGCCCCTCTTGCAATGTGGAAGAGATGAAGCTTCAGCCAGATGGGATCTGGTAAAGGGGGTTGAAACCCTAAACTGAATCACTGTTGTTTTAAGCTCAATGCATGTGCAGACACCCCCCCCCCCTTTGCTCCCCCCTACCTGCACACCTCCATTGTACACCTGTACCATGCTCCCTAGCACCTCTCTCCTGCTGGTCCCCAGCCCTGCTCTCCCCCTCTCCCCTGGCCTTCTGCAGGCAGTCTTGCTGTTGTCTCTGCTCTGTCCAGGGCAGCTAACCCAAACAGTTTAACCCTGCTCCATCTTTGAAGTCCTCCTGAATGGGAGAACAGCCATACAGATGTCTTGCTTCTCAGCTGCAAGCCAGAGCAGCAGCAGCTCCCCTCCTGTGACGCACACAATTGTTCTTGTGTGCACAGGGGGGCTCCCCCTTTTTCCTCCTCCTCATCTCACCAGGTACACTGACCTCCCCTCCATATCTCTCAGGCCCCTCGGCAGCCAACTCCCTGCACTGTTCTGCCTCTCTGCCTACTTCAAGGCCAAGCTCTGCTGCAGACTGTGGAGCTGTCTGGGGAGCAGATTGGGGAGTGCTGGAGCCCTGGGAAAGCAGGAGGGTCAGATGATGGCATGCTGGAAATGAATAATGCAGCGCCCATCAATTGCAAGGCATCATGTTAATATCGCAATCCCAGGCAAAGCCTCCAGCTCTTTATTTCTTAAAGGCCTCCCAGCCTAGATCTGATTTGCAGCTCCATGTAGCTTTTAGCCCAGAAAGCAGAGGACTTTTTACTGGGTGGAATGAAGAGGCAGACACTGCTTTTCAAGGATGCAGTTCCCAGCTTGGGCTCCCTGACCCACCTCAGATCTTACATGCTACTCTGACAGTCCTGATTCTGGAGCTGTCACTCTCTACATCATGGGATAAGTGGGGGGTTCATGTATCTTACCCAGTAGAGGATCATATCCCATCCTATTTCCATATGCACCCAGCCCTACAGATGCTTCCAGCCCTGAGTCCCTGTCCACCCCCTACTTCTATCCTTGTTAGGCTGCCTCGTTGCAGTCCCAAAACTGCCCCTCTACCTGCTGATGCCCTACAGTCTCTCTAACCACCACTGATTCCACCCTGAGCTGTGACCCACCTCCCTCTACCGCTTCCCTGCTGACATTTCCCTGACCTTGCTCCCTGCCTGCTCCCCTACCCAGGCAGGCAGGGATGCCCCAGCTTGGACTGAGTCATCTGGGGCTGATGCAAACAGGGTCTGAGCCTGCTGTTCGGTTCCACGATTTTCCCATTCCGCATCCTTTGCTGGAGATAAATGCTGCACAAGGGCCTCCACCGGCGCTAATGCCTCCCTGCGGTGGGCAAGGGGCAAAGCAGCTGCATCCCACACAAGGGTTTTGGCAAGAAAGATCAATGACAGCAGCCGTCCGCGCTTCCTTTCTGGAGGTTTATTTCTCTGTTTGGAGATTCCCCCCAAATCCGAGGGTGAATCCAGGCAGATTCTTGCCTTTTCAGGCCTTTTGGCTACAAGAACAGGTACCATGGGGTCCCTCCATAGCCCCCTGCAGCCCCCTCAGCGGCAGGAACATTTGCAGGCAGTCACGACAGGGTAGGGGATCTGCCGCCAGGTGCAGTTTGGTGGGCCTGGGTGCTGGGGCACCCAGCAGTGCCAGGCCAGCAGCTTGATCCGAGTGAGCTGTGTGGGGCGGCAGATCATGCCAGGGGGCCAGGAGCAGCCAGGAGGTCTGGTGTCACAAGCAGTGTGGCGCACCCAGCGGGGCCAGAAGATGGGTCCCAGGTCAACCCAGGTGGAGGTGACGCGGCAGGCAGCCAGTTCCACCAGCCACTGCCGTAGGTGGCGGGCCAGGGCCCCAGGTAGCTCAGGGGGCAACCCTGGGCCAGGGGGCAGCAGGGTGGGCAGCTCCAGCCCCTCCACCTCTCGCCACAGCTTGCGGCGGTAGCGCCCAGCACCCTCTGCCAGGTCCCTGCTCATGGACTCCAGGTTCTCCTCGAGGATGCTGCTGTTGCGACCCCGGGGCTCCTCAGTTGCCATCCAGAAGGGGTCGAAGGCCGAGCCTAGGAGCCGGCGCAGCCGCCCAGGGCGCAGGTGCCGGGGTTTGGGGGAGTAGTGGTAATCCTCAGGGGACAGCGAGAGGCTGTAGGGCCGCACTGGGGCTGAGGGGCGGCCACGCAGCAGGTGAGAAGTGGGGTCAGCGGTGCTGGACAGTGTCAGCGGCAGATCCTGAGGTTCCTTCGGAGGCAGTGGTGGGCTTGGGATGCCCAGTGGTGGGAGCAGGCAGAGGAGGAGGAGGAGGAGGCAGCAGCAGTATGTTCTCTCCATGGTGAGCAGTGCTGTGGCAGAGTGCAGGCTTGTGCTCCGCCGCATCCCCTCGGTTATCACCACGTCCCAAGACACGGCCTTCCCCTTTTCCCTGGTTACAGCAGCTGATAGTGAGCCAGCGGGGACACCATGCTCCCTTCTGCCACAGGGGCACGTGGGATCGAGAAGCTATATGATCCCTTCTGTCAGGCCACAGGGTTCCACTGACCCCAAAGGGCTATCAGAGCTGCTGTGGAGGGGAAGGGGCCAGCACCTCCTTCTCCACATCCTGCTCCATCACTGGAATAGGCACCCAGGACCTTCCCAGCAAAGGGAAGCTGGTGGCCTTTGAGTCTTGCTGGGAAAAGATCACCTAACTGCACTCAGTCTTAGCATACCTGGAAGTCCTCAGGGTATAGGTCCTGTCATCAGGGTGGACATGGCAGCAAGGCAGGAGGGCTGTGTGGGTCACTGTTATCTCTTGGTACATCAGCCAGCACCCATGCTGTCCCAGGCAACTGTGATGGAGCTGAACCTCTGGAGATAGCCTCCCTTGATGGCTTGTCCTCCCTCCTCACCCTGCAGTGCCCTGGCAGCACTGGAGGCGTGCAGATCTGGGCTGGATGGAAACCAAAACCTGCATTCTCCTCCTTCCCCAGGTCAGACATTGTGTGAGAGGCTCAATCTGCTCAGAGCCATGCTATTAACAATAATTAATAACAGCTAGTAATAGCAATTAATTGCTTATGCTCCAGAGGGGTTAGGGCCCTATCCCGCGGACAGGGCAGGGACCAGGCTCGCTGTGGTGGAATATTCTTGTTCCCTGGAGGTGTTGAATAAGACATCCTGAACATTCAGCATTGAGGGGTGGCCACCAGGGTCCATGGGACCCTTCCCCCCTCCATTCTCCCTCTCCTACCAGAGAATAGTGGGCTTTTTCTCTGCCACCCCTTCCTCACTGGAACAAGGAGCAGCTGAGCCTGCAGGAAAGCTGGGCAGAGAGGAGTTAACTCCAAACCCAACCTCAGAGAAAGGGGAAAAAAAAATCGACAGAGATCTATGGTTCAGCAGCAAGAGCAGAGGGAGGGAAAAAGGGGGAGACAGAGAGAAAGGAAAGGAGTTCCAGAAGGAGAGAGAGCAGAGCTGGTGGCAGGCAGGGGGAGGCAGCGGAGCACCAGGCAGGAGTGACCGGAGTGACCAAGCTGCCTGGACAAACTCTTTGGTAGTCTGCATCCTCCTTGTCACCATCACCTGGGCTGGACCAGAGGTCTCCCCCTCCCCAAGCAAGTGGCAAAGCTCCAGACCCTTCCTTGAAAAGGTGAGTGCTGGCTTCCCAAGCTGAGAGGTGGCCTCAGGCTCCCTGAGAAGAGACACCCTGGTGATCATGCATGCCCAGAGGGAGGCCAGGCCCCTCTGCTCCGTTGAGGAGATCTCATGGGGCCAGATGGATAGTTATCAGCAGGACAGAGGGGACAGAAGAGCCAGAGAGGCAGAGAAAGTCTTTTGGTGTGATACACATAGGAGCTGGGAAAACGAAGTGGCCTGAGCTGAGGCATGGGGGAGCATGGGGTGAAGGAGCTTGCATGACCCAAAACCGAGTTAATTGCATGTCAACAGTAGCTAGATAATGGTGTCTTTCCCTCTCAGTTATTGCTCAGAGAAGGACAATTTGTTCTAGCGATAGCAAACAAGAGGAAGGCTCATTCGGAGATAGGCTGTTGGCACTCCCTGCCTGAGCACAGTGTTACTCAGGGCTGGAGGAAGTTTTGCAGCAAATCACAATACCTTGAGCTGTGGTAATAACACGCTTCTTCACAGTGTTCATCATGTCGTATTTCAGGCAGATCTTCACCAAGCTGCCACCATCCAGCCCATTACCACCTCTCAGTATCATGAAAAGGTGCCCTTAATTGCCTCTTCTCTGCAGAGCATAGCTACTGCACCGGGAGCAAGGAGCAGCCAGTTCCAGAGTGGAGGTGGCCCCAGCTTAAGGAGTTCCCTTGTGATAAGAGTATGTTGGGATGCTGCTGCTGTGGGGTGTGATCCAGGCATCGGGTTCCTGCTGACGGAGGTGGCACAGCCCTGGGCTGAGTGTGCCAGGACCACTCTCAGACCATGGGAGCCCCCTTCCCCATGGCCTCATGGACAAACCCGGTTAAATACTAGCCAGGGTTTAGACTTGCCAAAGCAAGCAATCCCAAGAGGTTTAGCAGCTTTGGGATTGTAGGAGGAATATAGAGGAGGCCAGGTGGTAGGGCAGCGGGGATCCTTCAGGGGATTGGGAGCACAGGAGATGCCGTAGTGGGAATGTGAATTTGGGCAGGAGAAAGGGGCTTCAGTTTTGCTCAAGCCGGGTGTGACCTGACTGATCCCAACAACATTCTTGCCAGCAATATCATGAGGATCTTTGTGTCATCATTTAACCAGCTGGTTGAGATTGGCATCTCTGGAGAAATGTGGTGTCAAAGGCTGGAATCAGGCACTTTAGGGCTTTCTCCCTTTCTTCCCATGCAGGTTCCCACGGTCAGGTGGGGAGATGCCAGAGGGATGGAACATCTCTTCTGACAGCCTGGAGCTTCAAGCAGCAGGGATTCTTGTGCCCATCATCTTCTCCCTCATCTTCCTCGTGGGTACTGTGGGTAATGGGCTGGTGCTGGCTGTGCTGCTGCAGAATGGCCAAGTCAAGTACACCACCACCAACCTCTTCATCCTTAACCTGGCCGTGGCAGACTTGTGCTTCATCATCTGCTGTGTCCCTTTCCAGGCCACCATTTACACCTTGGATGGGTGGCTTTTTGGGGCCTTTGCCTGCAAGGCTGTGCATTTCCTGATCTACCTCACCATGTATGCCAGCAGCTTTACCCTGGCTGCCGTCTCCATTGACAGGTAAGTCTCCCCTTCCCTTTGAGACTCTCAGCTCAGAGACAATGTGTTTGCTGCCCCTGAGCTAAGAGGTGGGAGAAAGGCTGCCCTGTTGAATGTCCTGTAAAAAGCAGGTTGGGTCTCCCCAGGGGCAGAGGCAGCAGAACCAGCTCTCCATGCCCTCACCTTCCACGAAGCCAAGTTCTCAGCTTGATTACTGACCCTCACTTGGGAAGGAGGAGTGTCCACCATGCATAACCAAGACTAGCAAAAGCCCCGGGACAGCAACACACCTCAGAGGAAACAGTAGAGTCTTGCTTCTATCTTTTTCTTCCCTGGTTTGGGAGACACACTGCTTGCCCTTCCTGAGCTAGCACAGCAGAGTGGATGATGGGGATCCCAGCCTCACTGTTGGAATGACCCTGATATAACTGTGAATTCACTGTAACCCTCACTCCCAAGAGCTGGCGGAGGGGAGGGATGGGTGGCTGTGCTGGTAGGGGTGCAGAGATGGCATCCTCATAGGGCAGGAGAAATACCTCATCTCACCCATCTTGTCTTTGGTCTCTCCATCTCCTTCCCCTCCTTGCCAGGTACTTGGCCATTCGCTATCCGCTGAAGTCCCGTGACCTCCGCACCTCCCAAAACGCAGGAGTGGCCATTGCAGCAATCTGGTCACTGTCACTGCTCTTTGCAGGGCCTTACCTCAGTTACTACCAGATAATCAACTACCATGGTGTGCCCATCTGTGTCCCCATCTGGGAGGACCAGCGCCGAAAGGTTCTTGACATCCTCACGTTTGTCTTTGGATACCTCCTACCTGTGACTGTGGTGAGCCTGGCATACATTAGGACCGTCAAGTTCCTGTGGACCTCCGTAGACCCCATAGAAAGAATCTCAGAGTCCCGGAAGGCCAAGCGTAAGGTCACCAAGATGATTGTGGCTGTGGCCATCCTGTTCTGCCTCTGCTGGCTGCCTCACCACCTGGTCATCCTCTGCTTCTGGTTTGGCCACTTCCCCTTCAACCGAGCCACTTACATTTGCCGCCTGGCTTCCCACTGCCTGTCGTACACCAACTCCTGCCTCAACCCCATTGTCTACGCCCTCATCTCCAAGCATTTCCGCAAGCGTTTCAAGCAGGTCTTCACCTGCCTCTTCTTCCAGAACAAGACCAGGAAGAAGAAGAAGAGAGTTGGAAGGAAATTCCATATGGTCAATGTGGACAGAGGTTTCATCAACAGCACCAGAGGTTTCTATGGGGGCAACACTGAGGTGACTCAGGTCCCAGAAGACACCAGGAAGAGGGACCATGAAGATGCCAGTCATGCCAGAGCATGGACTCAGCAGCTTCAAGATGCCATGGTCTCTGTTAAAAAGGGGATACTGGAAGAGGAACATTTGGCAACAGCTTGCCATTCCCTAGACATGACCACTCTAAGAGGAACTCAGGAGTTTCTGACTGTTCACCACAGATAAACAAAGTGAAGAAATATATTTTCCAGATGGTGAGTAGCCACTCCATTCCCAAACAGGCCAAATAATGTGCGGCAGAGGGGAATGGATGCAGCAGAGCCACCAAAAGATCCTGCGGCAATGGTAAACCCATTGCCCCACTCACCTTTGCTCACTGGCCCACAGCATTCACCTAGGAATGTCACAATCCACCTAACCAAATGCAGAATGGAAGGACATGTTAATATGATGTCAAGTGACCTGAGCAGCATTCCTGCAACACATTTTAAGGACTCCATTTCCCAACTTCCTAACTTGCTAATTTTGTGCAACAACTTGAAACTCTGAGAGGGAGGAAATCAAAATGAAAATATCCTGGTAGGAAATCCAGGCTGTTAAGGTCACATCAGAGCATGGGTGGGAAGGGTGGAGTTCACAGGGACCTGAGTCTGAATAGAATAGCTGGCAGCCTCTCTTCCTGAGAGCCCGAAGTGGAGAAACACTGTCCCCTGCCCACATGCCCTTCTTTTCCTATGTGCCAGGGGCAGCCTTCATCCACCTCTGCCCCCTTCCCTTGCCTCTGCATCCAGATCAAAGGGTCTTTGCCAATACTGACTGGTGCACAAGGAAGTCAGCTGTCTGTGCCAACAGCTCAGTGACACAATCTGCACAGCATTGTTCTACCTGATCCACCCCTCTGCTTACTTTCTGTTTGCCTTTCACAAATTCCTGAGGGATTGCTGCCTCCTCTTTGATCTTTGCTTGCTACTTGGAATTTCATCCCTTCCTTCTGGGGCTGAAGGTCCTCTTGGTCTCAGAGCAGTGACGTTATTCAGTGATATTAGCCCCACACACACTGTTTACTCACTTGGCCAGACATTTTTTTTCTATGTGATGATGACGATGGTGAGTGAATTGATGGCTGTCACCAAAGCAAAAGAAAGTAGCCAAGCTGCAAAATGAGCTGTGGAGCCAGGTGACAATCATGGTGAGGCAAAGGAGAAAGAAACAGGCCCATCACACCCATGCACACTTAGCTCAGTCCTTAGTGCTCCTTTCTACATGGTGGAGAAGACTTCCAGGAGAGCACGTGGCCAACACCACTGAGGGGGGTTGGGATATCTTCCAAGACTGGCCACTGTTGTGGGATAGCTGTGGGACCCATGTCCACCTGGGAGAAAAACTTTCCCCTGCTCTGTCCCTGCTGCCCCGAGCAGCTGTGGAGAAACCTTCAGCTGTGGCAGCAGCTCAACGACACCCTGTAGCAGGGCCGGGAATCCTCCCAGCCTGACAGTGGGAAGTGCTGTGGGGATGGCAGGGCGGGAGAAGAAATCAGAAGTTGCTGGAATTTCTCCCCTGCTTGACCTTAATAAACCTGGTAATTGCCTTCTCCTGCCTTGTTTGCTGTGCACAGGGCTCTGCAGTTTGGGTTGGAGGTGGTGTAGGCCACATAAGCCATCTGACCACAGACTCACTAGCATGGCAGCAATTTGTTTATTTGCCTTAGCAGACACTGCAGAAGTGCCCAGAAGCAGCAAAGCTGAGGGTTTTAATATGACTCCAGCACTGCCGGTGTTTAAGAGAGTCATAGGAGGAGACAGAACTAGAGAGAGGGAAAGGGAGGGATGGTGAGAGTACCTGGGGGCAATATAAATGAGAAATATGTGGGGCTGGGTGAGAGCCATCTCCAGAGACAGAAAGTGGTGGTGAGAAGGCAGTGCAAAGTGAGGGGCTACAAGCAGATGGCAAAAGGGTGGACAAGAGGGCATGAAGGAGGTGGGAAGCAATGTGCTGGCAGAGCACTCGTGTTCTGGCAGGAGACTTTTCCGCACACTAGCAGTGTCCTGCTGCTCCAGAGTTGGGATGAGCATCACTTGGCTGTGTTGGGACTCCAGCCCCACAACATCTTTCTCCAGCATTTTTCTGCATCATCAGGCTGCCAGAGAAGCCCATGAAAACAATGTCCAAGCAAGGCCTTTGATCAGTCTAGCACATATGGGAGGGAGGGGGCCAGTGGGATTTGCATTGCTGCAATGCTGTGGTTTGCTGCGGTGCCTGGCTGACCTCACATAGCTCCCATTTTGTCACATGGCCATGACATGAGTCATGAGAGGGGAGGGGAGGACTACGCAGGATACTCAGCTTTCCCAAGTCCTTGTGCTGCAGGTGACTGCAGCCACCCAAGGCCACCCTCCGTTGGATGAGACAGCTTTGCTCTGGGAACGCAAGGTGTGTGATGCCACCTGACTTGCAAGTGTGAGCAAGACAGATCCTGTTTGCCAGCACAGATAGAGCCCCTGAGCCTCAGTCCTGTGACCTGGGAGCTTTTGGTCATGCTGTAGAAGAAAACCAGGAAGAAGCCCTAGAAAGGGTCTAGAGAGGTAAGAAAGGAATATCCATTAGCATCACAGTTTCTGACCTCATGACAAGGGTTTTGCTTTCCTCCAGGTTCATCAGACCCACACCTTATCCACACTGAGATGGTCTTATGTTGGCAGTGAGAGATGAGCTCGCTCGTTCAAACCCACTGAGTTCAAGTTCCCCAGAGCTCCTCAGCCACCTCCTCTACAATCCTGTAGCCATGTCTGAGACCTGCCATCACCACCCACAACATTCACAGTAAACTCAGTGATTGCAACAACCCTCCTTTTCCTTAATTACATACGGAATTTAATTAGTGCTGTATGGATTCTGAGTATGTAACTCTTAACATGAGGCAGATCTTCACCCATAATTTCTTAATAGCAGGTTGAAAGAGGGAAAGCTTGGCAAAAAGTGTTTGGGGAAAGCAGTGGCATTGTGGGACACACAGACTTCCACATTGAAGACAGGAAACAATTACAGGTTGTCATAGCACCAGTAGGTTTCAGAATGAACACCTTTGCCCTGAACAAGGCAGGCCATTCTCTTTCCACAGCAGTTCACTTTCCTACACCCCACTGCCCACAGTAATCATGTTTATGGAGATATCCCTCCCAGCAAAGGCCTATGGGCTGACTTTCCAGGTGTAGACGCAAGGACTGGGTGCTACAGCAGACTCTGTAGCCTGGAAATCTGGAAGGACCACACTCCTCTCTTTCTAGCTAATTAAAACAGCGAGGGAACTCATACTGAGGAGTCCCAGCTGGCAGAGAGGAGAGAGATCATCATTGGGAGCCAATTGCCAGCACGAGGCTGCATCAAATGCTAAGTTGTGGGAAGCTATGCAGTGCCATCGGTGGTGTCCTGAGCCCTGCATGGCCTGCAGAATCTGCTGGTGTCCTCACTTGTCCCCATGCATGGTGCTGGAGGTTGTGTAAAAAGTAAAGGTGTTTTGATCTCAGCAGTGCCCTCCAATGCTGTCAGTGCTGTAGACATTGTGCAGCAGGGCTGGGTGACATCAGGCAGCTTGCAGAGCTGTGATGTGTGTGAGCAGAGCCACAATCCCCCCCTTATTTCTCTTCTCTTTCTATTCCCTACTTCCGTTTGCGTAAATCTTTCCTTATTGCTTTGTCCTGCCTGCTCTTAAATTCCCAGGTGACATGGTATTTCTAACGCTTGCTGAAGCTGTTGTAGACCTTGCTGGAGCTCAGCTCCAAGGACACCCAAGGATACAGCTGAAGAGCTGTGCTGGGAATTAGTTTTCTTTCTCCATTCAAGTGCTTGATGTTGCTTTCTGCACTTCAAGCCTCCCTCGCCTCCTATCCCTGTTTGTGATTTTCCAAGCTCCCTCCATGATGGCTGCCACTCCTCTGCAGTTGATGCTTTTCAGAAACATGTCCAGATTGCCTTACCCACCTTCCCGGGACAGCAAGCTCTACAACCATCCTTTGCACATGATGCCATGGCTGGTGGCCAGCTCACATGGCCTCAAACCCACCTCTGGGCAACACAAATACCTACATCATTTCTATGGGTGAAGACTCACTACACAGCCTAAAGCATTGGAGGGAGAAGGGAACAGGAGTAAGGAAGGGTGATGTGGCACAGCTGGATGCTGCCTGTTCTTGCCCAGATGCGGCTGGGCTGTTTCTCACCTCTGATCCTGCTCCTCCTAGTCCCAGCTTGCAAAGGAAGCAGATCATCTCAGAACTGACTGCTGCACATTTGGGTGAAGCCTAAATAAAACAGGGCAGAGAAGACAAGGAAGACCTTAGGAGAAGGTGCATTTAATGTGACAAGCGGCTGCAAGCCCCGGGCCCCTTCCCTAAGCTCTGCCTGGTGCTAAGCCCTGATTTTGGGGAGCACATGAGCAGGATGGGCAGGCACTGAGTTTCAGTTGGGAAGGCTCTGGAGCCAGGAGGGAATTCCTGTCTGCCCAGTAACAGCGTACATGCTCCAACCGGTTTCTCAGCTCAAAAGCAGAGGTGAAGCAAAGATGTCACATCCTTGATATAGTTAGATTTAATTAAAGCTGAAGGAGCTTCATTGCTGCTTTCCACGCAACCTTCCCTCCAGACTGATTAGCATTCTGCAGTCTCTGCTCCTAGCTTCTTGCCTTAATTAATGACTCCTTGCTTGTATTTTCTTTCCTACTTGTCATCACCCAGGCTGATGAGCTCATCTTTAACCCTGCAGAGGCTGGTTTGCCACATTAGCTGAGTACTGCTGTTCTAAGAGCTGAAACAGAGATGAAATGGGAGAGGTGTGAGCAGGTTGGGGCTTTGCAGCTAGGGGTTGGCACCATCTCCTCTCTGTGGAGCAACTTAGTCCTACCAACTGTGCACTGGTTCTGGTGTCTGGCATCTCCCTGGCATGTGTGACATGAGCCCAACACTGGTGGGAGGTGTCAGACCCAGATGCCAAGAAGCTCATCGTGCTTACACCCCTGCATGCAAATCTGGCAGTCCTGGAGTGGGAATTCTGGTTACTTGCTTTTGGGTTTAGCTGCTGGTTGCTAATCCACAATCAGCCTTAGCAGGCTGACAACTGATTATGTTAATTCTTCCAACAACCACATGCCCTCTTCCCCTCTCAGAGCTTTCAGAAAAAAACCAAAGGAACGCTGTTTGCCATACCTCTTTTATCAGCTTCCTAATCAAAACTCACTGACTCTTCCACCTACTCACCCCCTGAGCCCTCAGCTGCCTAGGGCTGCTCTCCCACGTGGGCCAGGCACACCGCATGAAGAAGGCATTTTTCTGTAAGTACCTTCCTGTGATGAAGGAGAAGAGATCTATCTTGCTCACAGAGTGAGCAGAGTAAGCAGATGAAAGGGTGGGAGGTTTGCCAGAGATGCTTCATGGGATTTGCCAGAGATGCTTCATTGGGCTTCCTTAGCAGCACAGATAATTGCAGTGCTGGATTTGGAGTGTGCTAGAAAGGCAAAGGTGGAGGAAATAAAGGAATTCAGATGTCAGAGATTAATTATTTCAGCCGCTGAAGAGCTGAACAAACTCTTGATGTTCACACACATTACAGTGCGCGCTTCACATTCGCTTGCATGGGTGAGTGGCTGCTTCAGAGAAAGGCCTTTTGCTTAGTAACATCCATGTGGCTTTGCTGAGAGGTTTTGTTCAGGGGTGTTGCTTCTGCTGTGAGTCCTCACTGAGACACAACAGGTTTTCAGTCTTTACTTGCTGGCTTTGGTACCATCTTACAGCACAGCAGCGGCTGTAGAGCCAGGGAGGTTGCTGCTGGGTTCAGTAGCTGGGGATTCAGCACATCCCTGCAGAGCCATGCTCTGAATGAGGAGGGGAAATGGAGGGTATTTGGAAGTCAGGTAGGGGTGAGGGGGAACAAGGCCTAGAGTCAAGTCCCAGTTAATATCATGGCCCTGAGGACAGGGATGCATCATTGCTCAGGAAGGGATCTGGGAAGTGCGTTTGATGGTGTGGTACAAAGAAAATAAAGAGGTTGAACTGATTATAATGGCAAAACAAATAGCAGAGGGAAACCTGTGCTGTTGTTTCTATTCTCCATTGCTGCAGCAAACACTGCAGGGAGATGCAGAAAGCTGCCACAAGCCTCATGGGTTGTGCAGGGAAATCTGTGCATGGAAATCTGTGGCCCAGGGTGCAAGGATGGGGGGAATAGCTGCTGGGAGAAGCTGAAGTCTCTAGGCCAGGAGCAGCAAAAAAAACAGACGGGACCAGTGAACAGCTCTTAGCAGTGTGAAGCCACCGTCTCCTCCTCCCCTGGAACTTCCTCTTTCCTTCTTTCCCTCCCCAGCACCTAACTTGTTCTAGATACAGCTGCTGAGCATGACAGGGTAGTTAAGGCTTTGGCATGACCGGCTGACGCAAAGAAACATAAAACTTTTCTCCACCCAGTGCCAAACACATGATAGGGCTCTCAGCAGCCCAGTGCTTCATTCCCGAGGCAGGAAAGCAGAACTAAGTGTGGTGATTCACAGAATGTGATTCCTACACGATGCAGTTTTTTCCCTACTGAAAACCAGATACCCTTTTGTCTTTCTTACCTGGTGTTACTGTTAAAGCAGCAGCAAAACTTCCTATAACCCTGCTTGTTTTATTATTGATTGTGCTTCCTTGGAGGGAGCAGTGCTGCACAAGAAGCAAGATAATTGCTCCTGGCTGTCTGCAGCACCCCCACCTTTCCCCTGTCAGGAGCTGTTATGAAAAAAACCAGTGCCAGGTGAGACAAAGGCTTGAAGAGCTGTGGACAACATCACGTGTGCCGAGGCTAAAAGCTTCACTCTGAGTCCCAGCTAGATGTATTCCTGCTTTGAGGTAAGCTTCCAAGTGGTGTCTAGTTAGCAGACAACATCAGCAACTAAAATAACTGCAGAGTTAAAGAGCATTTCAGCCACCTGCTCTTTGAGCACCTTAATGGTCTCCTCAGCAACAAGGCTGTTGAGGGCAGAAGCGCTGATAGCTGGGTGTATGTGGACACCAAGACTAGGCTGTGAAGACAGGAAGAAATAGGGTAAGTAAAGACTGGACATGAAAGTCACCTGCTCCTTACACAGGGACCACACTGGAAATTCTCTGCACTGCCCAGATGTCCCTCCCCAGCCCCTCATCCCTTTGCTGCCTCTTCACAGCACAGCCATTTTATCCAGCATGGGGTAAGGCACAAATTCAGCCACTACCTTTCCACCAGCTCCATACTTTCGCAAGAGTGCAGAAGCACTTCTGCTGAGAATCTCTCTCCTCTATTTGTTCGGTTTTCACAGCAAATGCCTAGATTTCAAGTTTGGATTTCTTGGCTGTAGGAGTCAGGATCAGAAAAGGTCAGTCAGCAACCATGTACTTTGATCTGCAAACAGAGCGGTGTTTGAATTCAAACAATTTTGTGTTGTCGCTTCTGATTTCGGTACCAGCTATGACAGTAGCAGTTACAAAGTCCAGTGCTGTTGCATGGGGCCTAGAACATACAGTAAAGAAAGAGAAATGGGCTGCTCTGAAAAAGAGAATTTGGCTGAGGAGTCTTAAAAGGCTGACAGGATTTTATTGAAGTTTAAAATACAAAAAGGTCAGATTGTCTCCCACCTCCTCGGCATCCTTCCCATCCAGCACATCATAACGAAGTACCACTATTCATAGTGACAGCTCCAGCCCAACCAACCACAAGACTGCTGGTCCCAGTCATGTCCTCCAGCACCTCATGGATGAACTCATCTAAAAGCCATGCCTATTTCTGGTATCTCAGCTTTGAACACAGAGGTCCACTTAATCTCTTCCTGGACAAGAGGCAGATATCAGAGAGCATGCTGATCTAAAGGTCTCTGAAGAATGCTCCAAACTGTGGCTGCTGCATGTTTAAGCTGAATCCTAATAAGGCACTCTTCCAAACCAGTGATTCCCAAGCTGTGGAATGGGTATGGCTACCAGCACTACCACGGTGTGGTACACAGGTAGCAACTCAGATTATTATTGGGCATGTTCCTGCTCCCTGCTGCTGTTGGCACCCTATCAATGGGATTTCATGATCCCTGCTCCAAAACAAAGTAATCTAAATCTTCATTACTAACCACAGGGGCAGAAGTGAGAGAGCAGCAAGATCAATTCACTGCATAGCTGCATCACTTCAGACTCCCAGCAGAAGTCATGATTTGTTTCTCACACTGCACTTAAGGCTCTGCATGACAAGCAAGAAACACAGGATTGCTGAGCAGTGGGCTTGGTGCTGCTGAGGCAGACATAAACCCATATCCATCCCACCTCCTGTCACAACTGGACCCCTTGCCTGAGACTGCCAGTAACAGGAAACACAAAAGTCAGTTATGGTGGGGGTTTTTTTGCAAGATGCAGATGTCTACCTAAAACTATATAAAGATTGTCACCCCCCAAACCTTATTCTTGCATCAGGGCAGCTCTGACCTGCTAGCTGTGTACCTGGGTATTTTCTGCAAGTGTTACACTGTAGTATCTAAGCACTAACTTGCAGCAGTGATTTAAAAAATGAGGCCAGTGAAAGTTGTTAGTCTAGTGATGAAAAACTTTGTATTCCATTTGTAACCAGATAGATTCTCTGCTCTCTGACCTCAGGCTCTGGGGAAGGTGAGGATTAAGCCTCAGTGCATGTCTCTCAAAGCAGTATGTTTGCTTTGCTGCTAGCATGCAGAATTAAGCGTGTGTACTTCTCACAGCACAAAGCCTTCTGTTGTCCAAGGCATTCACTTTCTCTCTCAGGCAATTGAGCACTATGGAGGTGGCAAAAAGTGCCCGTTTCAAGCATTTCTGTGATGCTGGCCAGCTGCTGAGTGCACTAGTCAGGGCTGGTGACTGTACATGACATCAGCCACCACCTATATCGAGCTGAAGTACTTAGACGAAGGCAAAATATCTCTGGAAAAGGTATCCTATTCATCACCAGCCCATCTGATAAAAAGTAGAGCAGCTCTTTTACCCCAAAGTCACAGATGTGGCACTCTGTTGTCTCTTGCCTCTGTTGTCCAAACCCTGCTGCCTCCCCATGAGGCAGCTGTGGCAGCACCAACAGGAACAGTCTGAGCACCACTGGAGAGTCAGTCTGGCAGGAAAGGCCGCTGGCAGCAATGTTTATTCAGCAATCTGGGAAGCAAGCTTCAGCTTCCTTTTTTTCTCTCTAAGGCTTCTCCTGCTGCATCAGGAAGATGATTTGGAAGCCCATTACCTGTTCTCCATCTTCTGCATCTGCAGGCTGAGCGATGTGAAGCTGGCCAGGAGGTCTGTAACCTCGTCCACCTGACAGAAGAATACAGCTGGCTGTTAGGCAGGGGAATGCAGCTGTACAGCCACTTGCTACCATAGAATAAACTGTGACACAGCAGGGACTACCCCTGAACTAGGGTTGCCAGTAATGCCCATGCTGAGCTTATGCTAGGACAGGATCCCTCTGGTCCCAACAATCATGTAGAAGGGTTCTTATCCTCATGATCAAACAAGCCCTAATGTAAGGCAATGGGAGTTCTTCCCATCCCTCAGGAAGTCGATGCTTAACCTCCACCCTCTGCGATTTAGCCAGTCCTTAAAATAAAAGCATGTTGCTGCATTACCTAAAACTCAGTGGTATCAGGGCTGTTTCCTCTAAGCTTGTTTCTAAGGGTCAATTCTTTGTAGGAAAAAAAGCAAACAGGCCCTGCAACCTGGTGTGGTTGTGCTGATCCTGGCCTTAAAATGACTGTGCCCTCAGCCCATCTGATGTTCAGCTTCTCTCCTGAGCTGCTAGGCACAGCAATGCTTTCTGCATTTTGAATTCCAGCCTAAAGGAGTACGAGTCATCACGTAACTTGCCCACTTGACCCGACGTGAACAAAAATATTTCCATAACTGTGTCTTTAATATCATCCACAGCTCGTGCAATTGCATTCTCCTACACACAGGAGCCACAACACAAGGTGAGTCACAGTAGCCCAACGACGCCTACCTGCTCCTTTGTGCTTGTCATCTGTAACCTGGAACAGAGGTCATCCAGCTGTTCCTTTTGCTCATGCCTCCCCAGACGGTCCAGGTATTCCCGCAACATCTGGATAATCTGAAACCAAGAGGCGTAAGAGGCAAACATCAGAGAGTTGCACCAAGCTGAGGCGTTTTTACAGGAAAAATTAAATTGCACTTAGATCACCAAGTACACAGCCTTGATGCTGCAGCACATGGCAGAGTACGTGATCCTTAGAGAAGAACAAATGCAAAGCAACTGCACAGCACTAATGGCAGCACAAGAGCCCAGTGAGTCACCAGAGGCATTCATCAGCCACAGACAGACTACTTGTGATCCTTGCGTCTGGTTTAAGAACAGGGAAGAGAGACAGGCCCAGCTGAAGCAGCATAAGGCTTAGCCCCGAAAGCATCAAGCTTCTCTTTATGGCTAGCTAGCTTCCCTCACTGTGAGGAGCAGGGACTTCCCACTCCAGTAAGATCTGCTTGTGCACAGTGGATGAAAATCCTTGTGGCTCCTGTAAGCTCCAGATGTGAGGCCCATGCCCTGTGCATTCGTAACCTCACAAATGCTTTCCTATTCCATGGCTCCACATATCGGAGCAGGGTAGACTGTTCTAGAAATACAGAGTCCCTGCATGTGCACACCATAGCTACAGCCTCATGCTGTGGTCCCTCTCCTGCCACAAGGCATCTGTCTTACATGGTTGTTGAAGAAAAGGAGTGCTGCATACAGCCCGAGAATTAGGATATTCAATCCATCCTTGGCCTACCAGAGCCAAGGGAGGTCCTGCAAAAATTTAGAGTAGAGATTGGGAAAAAGGAAGGTCCCTGAAAATGGAAGGGAAAGTCAAACTCTCCCCACAGTGGTTAAGAACCTACAGACAGGCATTTAAATAAAGGGTGCAGGATGCTGCCAGGGGCTGCACCACCTTACCAGAACATGGCACTGTCTCTTTTACCTGTTTCACTTCCAGGCGTACAGCCTCCAGGCTGTGGGACAGTCCTTCCTGCAGGATGTTCAGCTTCGATTTAGCGAGGTGCAGTGGGGTTCTGCCGGCTCGATCCAAGGCGTCAACTCTGGCCCCTGCAAGATGCACGAGCAAGGACAGAAAGTAAGATTTGTTGTCAAGATCTGGTGTCCCTGGGGAGTATCAACAGGGCAGGCAGGAAAGGGACAGGCTGTAATTGTTATAGAGATGTTACCTCCGCGCAGCAGCATGGTGATGACAGGAACGTGGTTCGTGCAGGCAGCTGGGGAGGGAAAACACAGGACACACAACTCAGAGGTACTAGCAAAAACGAGTTCCTGCTCAAGTGCAGAGCTTGCTGCTTCCCAAAGGGCTTCTTTGCCCTGGGAAAGAGGAACAGCTCAAATGCTAAGATAACCTCACACTCAAGCCTGAGTATTCCCTCTGGAACAGAGCTTGTGCTCCTTGGGGCTGGCAGAGAGAGGGAAATTGATTCTCCCAAACCTTTTTTCTGACCCTAAACTTTGTGAGGAGTGAAGTTAGTGAAATTCAAAAGAGCCCCTTCTAGGTCCTTAAATCTGGGGATGCATACTGTGAGGCACAGGGAAGAGGAAGGTGGAGAGGAAAGGAACAGTAAGGTGGTGTTCACCTCACCTCTCTTCATGCAAAACTCATCTCTGTGGCACTTACCCAAATGTAGGGGGGTGTTGCCCAGCCCATCTCTCTGGTTTGGGTCAGCCCCATGGTCCAGAAGCAGTTGCACTGGAAACAAGGAAACAACCATATCAGTCCCTTCCTTTTGCCCCACAGGTCGAGCCCACACGGGCCACAGGTCCACGTTGCAGCCACCAGGCTGCCTTGTAGGTGCTTCTCTTCAGCTCATCAGCTTCCTTACTGAGACAGGGAACAGGGGGTTGTGCAGCAATGCAGAAGGACCCAGCTCAAAGTGAGGCAGTGCCACTGCCCTTGGGCTCTCTGAGGGGAAGAACGGGGTGGAAGGACACCCTTCCCTCTACATCAGTACAGCCCTAAAACTGGGAGGTCCTGCTCCCCCTCTAACAGGGGGACATGGGAAGCCCTGTGGCCAGAGTTCAGCTGGCAACTTTGACACAAAAGAGCAATCTCTGTCACATGCTGAATCAAACTAAAGAGCATCCTTTGAAATCTCCGCCACAGAGAGGCCGGAAGGCAGAACTCCCCCTCCCCACTCACCGATGTGATCGTTGCCATTGCAGGAGGCGAAGTGCAGGGCGGTCCGGCCTTTGTCGTCCGCAGCACAGGGGTCAGTTCCATCCTCCAAGAGTTGCTGCACTGACAGCACCAAGGAGGAAAAGAAAGCAGATAAGCTGACGGGGCATCTGACCAGAGAGGGGTAATGCTATCTGCTCTTCTGGGGTAGATATATGTGCTGTCAGCTGCCAAGTCAATGGGACACGAACCAGCATCCCGCTCAGCAGAACCAGCTGAGGCAGCACAACCTCCACCCTCTGTTTCAGCCTTTACCACCTTTCACATGTTGCTACAAAAGATAAGCCAACAACTGTAATGGCTAAGGATCCACCTAGCCAAACTTTCAAGCTCCAAGGACAATCTGCAGCAAATGCCTAGAGAAGAGTACAAAAAGATAGGAAGGATGTGGGGCTAACTCTCAGCTTTACTCATCTGTATCTCAGGCACTTCCCAAGCTAGAGTTAGCATCCTGTGCTTACTACCCATCTGTGGGCTTTCCCCATGGATTTGCATGGTCCTTTTCTGTACCTGTGTAAACTTTTCACACCAACATGGACCCATGGTCAAAGTTTCACAGTGTAACTACATCTAGTGAGAAAAGCCATTTTTTTACACCTGTTTTGACTATGCCCCTCCCCAGATCCATCTGAAACTCCTGTTTTTTTGCCACACCTGGTATGGCAAAAGTATGGGAATGGTGGCTACAGTATGGGTAGCAAGCAGGGGAGTGCACCGACTCTACAAGAGCAACACAAAGAGACCAGTAAAGGTTGCAAAGATTAGGTATGTAAAAATAGCACCTATTGCAACAGGGGTAAGAACAACTGTAAGGGTTATTACTGCTGCTGTTTTGAGATCACCCTGACAGAGCAACCCTGACAGGTGCATAAAATAGAGCTCACTACGTAGCTGTTAAAAATGCTGACAGGTTCACTATATTTTGAGATCTTTAGCAGCATATCCTGCAACAGCCAAGACTGTCAAGTACTGGAGACAGAAACCAGATAGCTCAGACCACTGAAAGTCACCGTTCATCTCGGCTTCCAGAGATCGAATTATAGCCACATTTAAATTTCCTCCTGCACACCTCCTGCTTTAAGTGTGGCACAGAACTGAAAGGAACACCTGAAAAGATGGAATTGGCGTTAACAGGGGACGTTTGATACTCCAGAAGAAAGACAAAGAGACTGGAGCGCCCCCAGTGAGAACCATTAATGGGGAACACTTTAGCTAGTCCTCCCCTGAAGCCAGTAGGAATGACATAACCTCTCCCACCCAATGCCACCACAGGAAACAGCAAAGATGTTTACTTGTTGATGAAGAATAAATTAATCATCAGAGTGCAGAAAACACATCAGGATTGTAAATAGGGGACCCTGTCTTTCACATCCAAGATGGATTGAAACCAAGACTTCCATAAAGCCATGTTCTTTCATTCTTGCTCTTGACTCACTGACTGAAGCCCAGCCCTCCTGTACTGACAGAATCCACAGATGAACTTTACCCATTAGTTTGTGAAAGAAGGTGTATTGTGGAGCTGAAGGATGAGGCACACTTGAAACCCACCCCCCGATCTGATGGACTGGGATTTTCTACAAGTCGAACCAGTTTCCAATTCTGTTCACTGACTGGCCTCATAAAAGGCAAGCACAGCTGAGGGGACAGCACAGCCTAAGGAGGGACAATGAAAAGGGGCAGATATTGTTGCTGGACACTTCATATCAAACCCCACCTAATCCACAGTCTAGAAAGGTAAAGAGAGTAACAGATAGGCCATGAGCCTTCTCTGAGTTCACTGTGAGAGGCAGAGTCCATCTCTGGTCCTGGTTCTAATCTACTGGGTCACACTGCCTCATCTTACAGGGCATGGCTTAGATAATCACAGCTTGTCCACCTTAACCAGAACATTACTCTCTTGCTGCTTACAGCTGGGCAAAAGGTACATTTTAAAGTAGCTGGAACAGTGCAGTGCGGATTTAGCTCGAGGCAGTTAGAAAATTAACACTACGAACCAGCTGCAGTGAAAAAGTGAACACTATAACCAGCCCCACTCTGATCAGAGAATGAAACTGGGCTCCAAAAGAGCATTTTCTAGATCTGAAGTATCTAAAGCACCACGTCCACAAACAACCAGCACCCATTTTGTCCTCTCCTAAAATAAGAGTCCTTGACATACTGCCCTCCCAGGAAGAGATCCCAAGTGGGACTGACAGAAGCCTTACCTGTGTCTAAATCATTGCTATTGGCAGCTTCACGCAGCCTTTTCAGAGCTGTGGAGAAAAGAAAGCATTTACTAAGAAGCACAGAAGAAAAAGCTGCGCTTCCCTAGTGGAACATCCCATCCTGGTGCTCGAGCCCAGGTGTGGGGCCAAATCGCGCTGCTGCTCCTGGCTCAGGAGAAGGGGAAGCCGGAGATCAAGCCACCGGGTAAGAACACTCTCCTCGTGTCCTCCGGAAGCTCTCCCACTCCTGACCAGCACCCTCCGCTGGCAGGACCAGGGATGCCTTCCCAAGTCGTCCCCAGAACAGATCCGACCCCCTTCCCATGCAGAGCCGGCCGAAGGCAGAGCTGTCCCGGGGCGGGACAGCGGTTCCCCACCGCCCCCCGCTCACCGTGGGCCTCCTTGCCCGTGGGCCCCAGCCGGCGGTGCAGGCGGGCGGCCCTGCGCAGGCGGCGGGCCGGGATCTTGCCCGCCGGCTCCTCCCGCTGCCACAGGACGTGCAGGTACCCGAGGGGCGCGCCCGCCGCCGGCCCCAGCGGCAACCCGGGCTCCAGCAGCGGCAGCCCGACCAGCGGCTGCGGCTCCGGCTGCGGCTCCGATCCCGACTCCGACTTCGACTCCGGCTCCGGCTCCGGCCCCGCGCCGGGTGCCGCGTCGGCCCCGCCGCCACCCTCCATCCCCTCACGGGCCGGGCCGGGGGAGAGGGGCGGGGCGTCACCAGAGCAACAGGGCGGGCCGTATCCGCTCGACCAATGGGAGGCGCCTCGCTCTCTGCGTGCAGCCAATGGGGAGGGCGCAGGCAAGGAGGAAGACGAGGAGAGAGGCGGTGACCAGGAAAGCCTGACGGGCAGGCGCGTTCTCCTATCAGAGGGAGGGACGGACCACAGGCAGCCCATGGCGGCTCAGGGGCCTGAAGACGGACAGTTGCTTTAACCAATGGAAGTGATCAGCCAGCCGCTCCGAGGCCCATCCCAGTGCGCACCCCAGGCCTGCGTTTCCGGCCGGAGCCCTTTCCGCGCCGCGCCGCCGCCGCCATGGCCTACCCGGGGGAGGACTACGACAACGAGGTGCAGGCGGGGGGCGTGGGGCATGGGGGGTGCAGTCGGGCTGTTCGCGGGCACTCACTGCCGCCCTCTTCCCACAGGCTGCCTACGACCCCTACGCGTACTCCAACGACTATGACATGCACACGGGTGAGTGCTGGCCTGGGCCGCGCCTCCCTGGGGGCTCCGGCGCCCGGCTGGGTCTGTGGGGCCGGGCCGGGCCGTGCGGCGGCTACTTCACTGCTCCACCTTCCCCGCAGGAGACCCGAAGCAAGACCTGGCCTACGAGCGCCAGTACGAGCAGCAGACCTACCAAGTGATCCCCGAAGTGATCAAAAACTTCATTCAGTATTTTCACAAGACGGTGTCAGATCTCATTGACCAGAAGGTGTACGAGCTCCAGGCCAGCCGGGTTTCCAGTGATGTTATTGACCAGAAGGTGTACGAGATCCAGGACATTTATGAGAACAGGTACAACACCATCCTCCCTGCAGGTGGGAGTCACTGTTTAAACTGGGATGAAAGTGCACCCTGCCCTTAAAAGGAAAGGCTTGCCAAATCTTGCTGCTACCTGTGTTGTACCAAACTTGGGCTTTCTCTAAAATAGGTTTGGTTTGGTTAATGGGGGGGAAAAAAACCCAGATATTTCCAGCCTGTTAGGCTAACGTAAGTATAGGTGAGTTGTGACCCCTCTGAAGAGGAATATCAGCCCTGTCCTAACAGGTATGGAGGCTACAAAAAGGGACCTCAGTCATGCTAGCCAGGCAGTTTGCAGAAAGCTGTGAGGTGTAACTTTTGTGTGTGTTCCCTACAGATACTCTTCCACTCCTGCTTGTAGCTGTGCCACCTTGCCATAAAGAAAATGTGGAAGTAACAAAGTAACGTGCACGGCTGTCCCGTGACTGAGGGATAAATTGAAGACTAACTACTTAGTTTGCATTTCTTGTTCTTTGCCTCAACGCTGGAGTTACAGGGGGGGGGTGGTGGTGCTCAGCCTTCATCAAACCCAAGGCACCTCTGTTGTCATCTCTAACTCCATCAGTGTCATACTGAAAGGTGGTTTTTCATACCACGTGTGCTTGTCTTTCAGCTGGACAAAACTGACAGAAAGGTTTTTTAAGAACACCCCATGGCCAGAGGCTGAGGCCATTGCCCCTCAGGTTGGGAACGGTAAGTCTTTTTCTTTGGTTGTTGGAGAGAGAAGGAACTAAATCCTTCTGATCCATGAGCGAGCAGGTGCACAGCGTTGCTGCCGCCTGAGTCAGTTGTCTTTGTCCACTCTGGCAACTCCAGCAGGTGCCTGGCAAGGAGTCAGACTGTGAAGTATCCTTATGTGCTTTCTTTTATGATTGTGGCAGGAGGCTAATAGGCCTTATGGCTTGCTCATGTGCCCTTCTGTCGTCTTTTCCAGATGCTGTTTTCCTCATCCTATACAAGGAGCTGTACTACAGGCACATCTACGCCAAAGTCAGCGTGAGTGTTGGCCCTTTGTCTTCCTGTGGGTTGAATGCTGGTTTCTTTGTGCCAGCACACTTGCCAGATCTTGCTGCCACCACAGTTTCAGTGGTCCCACAGTTTTTGCAAGACAGGATTTATGGGTTTGTGAGCTGTAAGTCACATTGCTTTTAGGGAAACTTAGAATTCTTGCCTTTTGTTAGTTTGGTAAGGATTCACTGATTGCTGAAAAGCAAGAAAGACTTGAGTGTTTGTCTGAGGCTCATTAGCTGTCTCTTCAGGTTTGGTTATAATGAGTGTGCAGGATTCCCTGATAGCTCAAATGAATCAGAAGACAGATCTGAGTTTTCAAGAAGCTGTTTGTTACTGACATTGTGCTGCTCAGTGAGTTAGTTAGTGAGTTAGGGAAGAAGGAGGTTTTGGGAGGTAATTGTATTTTCCTTTTAATTGCTTTTTTTGTGTGTTTCTTCGTGACTCTTTGTTCTTCAGATGAGCAGGTGGATGAGGGGAGTTTCACAAGAGGAAGGTGCATTATTTGTGATTAAAAACCCCTCATGGGGTCAGAGTGCGTTGCAAAGGGGGAAGTATGGGTACCATAAAGGATACAGGAGGTGGAAGTGGAAGGAATAGTGCTCTGTGAAACAAAACAGATCCCTCAGGTTTTTTTTATTTAAGCTACTTTAAAGTCAGTGAGAAAATTGCAGTACTTGGTTTTTTAAGGAAAAAAGCTGAACAGACTCATGACTTACGGGGTATATAAGTAATAACTGCAATTTTACTATGGACCAGAGGGTGGAGAAATGAGCACTTTAAAAAGGCTGCTGTGTTAATCCAAGGCTTTAGCAGGAGAAACTGGTTTCTCAAATTGTGCTGTTAGTGGTTCTCAGACTCAGTGTCTCCAGGTTGAACAAGAGAGATGACTCTAGGAAGGGAGTGATTTTTTACCAGTAGTTCAAAGTGTTTAGAAATGTTGTCCAGAAACAGAATTGTTGATTTATTAAGGCCTCTCATAAAGGGAGAAGGAAGGAACGCTGATGAAGGTATAGGAAGTTCTTAAGTCTGAGCAGCAGAGAGGGGAAGAGGGAAGGTTAATGCACAATATTCACAGGAATTTTGACTGCTTGATTGTCCTGGGAGAAGCTACCTGTACAGGAAAAGTCAACCCTGTTCTATGGGACAACAGTGATACAATTTCAGGCTTTCTGGGTGATGCTGGTGGATGTCCTGGTTGAATACTAGCTTTAACACTTCTGAAAGAGACCCTCCACTGCTGTGACTATTCAGTGTCCTTTGTATGCTGTTGCCCATGAACTTCCCTCTTTGGTGCTCAAAACAAAGCAGACTGTACTGACTTCTCATTGCAGGGGGGGCCCACACTGGAGCAGAGATTTGAATCCTACTACAACTACTGCAATCTCTTCAACTACATCCTCAGTGAGTTGCTGCAATCCATGTCTAGTTTGTTAATTTTGGAGAGGGAGAGTGGATGGAGAGGGTGGAGCTGGAGAAAAGGTCAGAAGAACTGCAACATGTTTGTGTGTAGATCGCACAGGGAGAAGTAGTCTGCGAGCTTTCTGTATGTTTGAGTTTACTGAATGAAGAGCAGTTTACATCCATGAATTTAAAACCATAAAAAGCAGAAATAGTTCCCAGTGCTTTCTGAAACACTGTAAAGAATAAAACTTATTTAGCTTTCTGTCTTCCTGAGAACTGCTTGATCTACTTTTATTAAAAATTAAAATGAAGCTAAAGAAAAATTAAGCTAAAGGAACTTGCAGTGTTTTCACAACTGTTTACTGTTGTTGACTCCCCTTGGAGCAAATTTTAGTGTTTGTGACTCCCTGCCAGGCTTTTTGTGGAGATTAGATCAGTTCGGATAAACCCCTACAGTCTGTGTACAGCTTCTGAGAATCGCTGCTCCAGAGCCATGACACTTTAGAGATTAACCTTGTGCATGTTCATAGTCTTTGAAAGTGAAGGCAGCTGAGGTAGTAGAAGCTACATATCACAGCCCTGCTGGAAGCTTCATTCATCTGCTGCTGCATCTCCCATTTCAGGGAAATCCTTGTGTTCTTTAATTTGTCTACTCCTCCAGTTCTGCCACTGTTCTTGCTCAAGGCACTGAGCCTCTCATCTATTCTCCTGCAGATGCCGATGGCCCTGCTCCCCTGGAACTGCCCAACCAGTGGCTCTGGGATATCATTGATGAATTCATATACCAGGTATGTGGCTATGAGTCTAGACCATTTTGGAGTGGCTTTGTCTTTATTAGTTGTATGAATTTTCCATCTCTTCTCTTGCTGTGATTTTCATAGTGAGGATACCATTGCACGTAAAAAAAAAACCTTGGTGAGGTCTTTAGGGAGTCCTGAGCCTTTGCGGATATTTCTGTTTCAGAACACAAGTTTTGTGTTTCTTAGTCAGTTGGACCTTTATGCTTGCACTGAGAGATTGATGACCTGCTTTGAAATAAGCTCTGGTCTAAGATCTTAACATTAGGAAATATTTTTACACTTATTTTTCTGAGTGCAGCAGTACAGATCTCTGTAGATTCTTCTATCTATAACTTTTTACTATAGAGCTGCCTGTAATTCCTCAAATGCTGTCTTGTCAAGCTTAGGGATGAAAAAAGGGATATGTGCATATACACACATATATGTGTGTATGCAGACTCATCTTCTGATTTGGTCATTCTTTTTGCTACCTATTCAGACAGCAAATTTGTGTTTAGTTGCCTGTCCTAATTGTCTAAGAGATATTTCTCTGCTTCAATCTGTTTTCTGGCCTTTTCCCTTTGTCCTGTATCATTTTTTCCCTACGTGCTTTAAAAGTGATATAATTTACCATTTTGATTTCCAGGTGATCTCAGATGAAACTCTTTTTTTTTTTGCCATGCAACTTTTACTTTATTGTATTGCATTTGTGTGAGCAACTTGTAAGCTTAGTGCACTCAGCTGAGCATCCGCAAACAAGCTGTTCGTCATTGAATCTCTGCTTCTTCCTGTAGTTCCAGTCTTTCAGCCAGTACCGCTGTAAGACAGCCAAGAAGTCTGAAGAGGAAATAGACTTCCTTCGCTCCAACCCCAAGATCTGGAACGTCCACAGTGTCCTCAATGTGCTGCACTCTCTGGTGGACAAATCCAACATCAACCGACAGCTGGAGGTCTATACAAGTGGAGGTG